CTGGCAGTGTAGACAGAAAAAACATTACGGACAAAGACCAGGAAGACTGGAATGGCTATTTTTAGCTTACTGGCCGTCATCAGCCAACCATAGGCAACTCCAGGCGGTGCAGCACCCGAGTCTGGAACCCGCGACCTGTTCGTTAGAAGTCCATGTTTTCCAGTGCCCACAGCGCCAAAGTCATGCATCGTCACAGACAGCTGTTCCCAACTGGCTGACCTTAAGACCCTTGACTGAAATCATCGCACGCATACACGTGCGCAAACAGGCACGCACATACGCGTCCTCAAACCAGTCGTGGCTTTTTGAATATGCCGCCACTGGGCCAACCCAGCAGGGGCCTCTATACGCGACACCCCCTGGGGCAGTGCAATACACCAGTAGCACACCACCAGAACTCGCTTCACAATCATGTTAAGGCAACTCTCCTCTCTCCCATACAGACAGTCAAACTCTCAGGCACGATTGAACGCACTCACTCTGGTGCCTTCTGATTTTTTACAATAAGTTAGGATTCGATCTGGTGCTGGTAGTGGTCCGAGTACAACCACTACTTAGACGCTACACCCACACATGACTGGCTGGCTAATGAGCCAGAAGTGGTCATTCCAGTCTCTTTTGTCTCTTTCTTTAATGACTTTTTGCCCGTAATCTTGTGTATTTCTGTTTCTATCCTGTGCGAGTTCCTTAACAACGCTTCAGGATAATATTAATAATACTCGTGTGACATTCGGACTACTCACGGCATTATTGTCCTCGCCAACCCTCGCCTGTCTCAGCAAGACTGTTAAAGCATAGGAAGAAGCCTAAGAGCTGCATCAAACCGAATAAAGTTGGCGAATACCTGGCTACAAGACTGATTTAAACCTAATTCGCTATCTTCCAAGAACTCAACTTAAAGTGGTTGACGGAGGTGCTGCATTCTGGACAACGTGCCGAGGGCCACCGTATGCTATGATGTTGGGATCGACATTAGCGCAACCGTCTTCATCAGACCAGCTAAACATCGGGCGAGAGTTATATGCCGAAGAAAAATACCAGCCATCAGCATTCTCGTTAAACTGCGACGGAAAGATTGGCCAGGGCCCTTTCCAATCATTGAGGTTTAATTTTCCATAAGACACACTAAGGCAGGAAAGAATACCGGTAAGGACAACAGAAAGTGGACTGACTTTCTGACTTATTAGCTGCCGTCAACCGATCATACCCAATTTCAGGTGTGGATCACCCGAGCTTCCAATTGCGACCCTTTCGTCACGGAATGTAACACTCTAGAATCGAGCTATGGGCCCGTTGCTTTGTCGGTTGCAATCGGAAATATGATGATAGTAGGGGGCTCACCGATTTGGTAAAGGAACAAACATGTTCCGTCGTGCCCTCAAGTCCACTATAGAGCCCTCACAGGCAGTCGCATAGCGACTTGTATTATATTATGGAATGGAGTCCAACCAACAAAAACAAGGGAGATAAGAATGGCCATTTCTGGCTTATTAGCCGTCATCAGCCAGACATACCCAACCCTAGAAGTGTCGACGCTCGAGGCTCGAACCCATGGTCTTACTAGTATTAAGGCCAACCCTCTAACTACCGCTCCACGGGCTCGTTGCGTCGCCGGTTTCGATCAAGAATATACGCCATAGGGGATAGGCGCTCACCGACCAGATAACCTGGGATTTTAACCCGGATTTTTCGGGC